AGACCTCTCCAAAAAAAAAAAAAAAAAAAAGGCTGTTAAGAAATAATTTTAGAGGAACAGTAGATGGCATAATGGTTACATCACTAGACTCCCACGTTGTCGACTATGGCTCAAATCCCAGACCTGGTGGCTTAAAACTCACACAGGCATGTGTGCGGTATACCCAAGATCCCAGGAGGAGAATGGAAGAGAAGGGACTGTGGCATGGCCACATCCCCTGGGGTGTGATTTCTTGTTTTCTGTCTATCTCTCTGGTGAGCTCACGCTCCCTACAGGAGGAAAAAAGAAATAAAATCAGGAGCACGATATAATATTAAGTTATATAATATGTGTCATATTCATTTGAAACAAATCAGAAATTATTCTACCTAAGAACTGAATTACTTAAATACATAAACCCAAATCAAACAGGTCTTACCAGATACATAGATTTGACAACATATACCCATTCAGTTTGCCTTAATATTCATAAACTATGAAGATAAACAAAACTATTTTTTGATGTTAGCGATTCTGCTGGAATTAGAATACACTTTCAAGTATTTTTAGTGGCTCAAAAGAGTGTCTAACCACAACTCACAACTCAGATCCAGATAACATTTGAGTCCTTAAAATCCTTATATCTTATTTTCCTGACCTTTTTAAAAAATTCAATCTTCATCTATATACATACATCCAGAATAAATCTGAGATCTCCCTTCATGGTATAGTGAAAGGTCAGTAACACATTTCCCTAATATTAAGTTTCCATCATGACATACATTTAAATTTTTTTCATATTTTACTTGAAAAATATTAGCTGATTTTTACCAGTGAAATGGTAAAAATAAAGGCAACTATAACTTAAAATTATAAGCTTAATGTTTTATTCATTGCATTCTTTATACAGCGAAAGCTTCACTGATAGTTAATTTACTGCAGCATCCTGTGGGTGAAGCACAAAATTACATTAATTATAAACAAAGAAACAAAGAGCTTTTGACTTTTAAAAATTATATATATATATTTATATCCAGTTGACAAATAGCATCACAATTATTACTGTATAAAAAACTAAAAATCACCATGGAAGCTAAGGCCTAACTTCTTATTCCAATTGTTCCCTTTGTTTATATCTAACAGATATTAGAAATTAGATTCCAGTACCTCAAAAAAAAAAGTCTACATTATTTACATATAGTATGGAAAATAAAAGCTGCTTTTTGGCTAAGTTAGATTGCTGTTACCTACATTATTTACATTGTAAATGTTGGGGGGGAAGCAAAAAAAACAAGTAACATTTCAAACAAAAATATATTGTGCCTGAAATTTTTTTCTTAAATTAATCATATACCCTAATAAGTGTCATTAAATAGAATCTGACATCTAGTAAAACTACTGAAAGTCTGAAACAGAGTACTACTATGCTTCATTATATTGCTAATCTGGATAGCCATTAAGTCCAAGATTGTAGTAACTAGAAGCACTGAACCTTAAATGAAACAATGGCAACATGTGTATAGATGGAATTTTATTTAATATTGCAAAATAGAATGCCTTAATGTTTACCCATAATTATGAGACTGCCTACTGTTCTTTAACCCTTTAAGAAGTCTCACATATAATATGTCCCTAAATAGTGAAATCTTCCAGTAATTTACCAGAAAAAATATCTATTATGTTATTCTGTTCTTAGATTTTTCCAATATTTAAAAACATATCTAAACCCTTGGCAAAAACAAACACAATCAATTCAGTGTAACAGACTGAGCTTTAAACCATACTTTAATTTTTAATAACTGGAATCTATTGGCTAGTTGAACCAAGTGTAGAATATTTAAATGACTCACTATGAAGTGTGTCAAATCAGTAACAGAATGCATAGAAAAGTCGAGATAAGTTTTGGGGAATGTATAAAGTGATTAATAGGGAGTAAGATATACGCTAGTTTTAATAACAAAAATGATACTAAATGTATGTTAAATTAACATAAAAGAGAATAGGTTAAAAAAAACTGTGATTCACATATTATAATAAGCAAGCTATGACAGAATGAACTGAAGACATGAACAGTTCTGAAATTTCTCTTTTCAGCCTACTTCCAATAGAAATAGTCAGGCTTTTGTCCTGTACATAGTTTGATGCTTTGTCTATACCACATATAGTAGAAAAATAAATTCTTTAGCAACCTAGAAACAGTTTATAAAACTCTTAAAGTTTAATTTTCTTTGCCAGACATGCCAATGTTATACTGACAGCTATAAATTAAAGCTATATAGACAATAGGTATAAGTAATATAGAACAAGTTAAGAATACTACATTTACCGGATTTTTTAAAATTATTGTATTTTCTTAATTGCTGTGTGCTTTGAATAGGAATAATAGGGACTTTGTTTTCTTAGAAAAGATAATAACATGTAAGAATATAACACAAATAAGATAATTTATAATGTACACGTATTTCAACAGCAGCCTGGTTCATGTCAACATCTTGATTCTGAAGTTAAAATGGGAAGTGCAATATCTAGAACATAACAGTTGGGAAAGACAATATTCATTTTAGAAAAAAATGGAGCAATCAAACTCTTAGGAGCCTTGAATCTCAAAATCACCTATTTACTATAATATACATCAGATAACTTTAAAATTGCAGTATGAAGATTACATTAACCAAAGATTTTTTTTTTCTTTACTACACAAAAAATAACCCAGCAATGAAAAACCATATTTTTCCTTTGTAGGAAAAAAAAATGGCATAGTTTCATAATGAGAAAACTTTGAATAATGTCTAACAAAATTACTTATGCCACCTATTCTTATTCTGAAAATTGTATTCATAATTTAGTGTTCTGGTTTTATATTCACTAACAAAACTGTTTAACCCCCAAAAGCAGCAATCACTGATAGTAACTCTGGTACCAAGATGAAAGGAAAAAATTGGTTTAAGATAAATGGTGCTTAAGCCATTCTGGATTTTAGTACAACACATCACACACACACATACCCCCAACACCCACACACACACGCCAAAAACAAATTTGTAATTTTACATATACACACTCCAAAGAGCCTGTCAGTACCCAAAGTAATTTTATTGCTATATTAGCAATGGAAATTTTTGGATATGTTTTTAAGGGCCACATAAAAATAGATTTAAGGAACAGATTAAATTGAAGTCCTAGATTAAAATGTTTGGTTTAAAGAATTTTCTACAACAAATTTTATGTTTATGTATGAAAAGTTATATATAACCTTATATGAAAATGTCATGAAGTATTTTCTACACTATACTAAATGTATTCCCCAAGAGGGAAAAAATTAAAATATCTAAAATATATTAGATTAAGATTACAAGACCATAATAGATCTTTTGAACATGCATCTGTTTACAGAATTAACAGTATACAAAATGTTTATTTTATTATGGACAATAAAGAATAAGTTGGTGACAACTATCCTTTGCACAACATTATCAACTCACTTTAGCAACAAGCATGTCCTTGGTATGTGTATAAAAGAAATAGGTTCATTTACCTCTCATCAAATCATCCACAGGTTTACTTAGAAGTAAAGATGAAGGTGCAGAAATGTGAAAATGTTAAGTGTACTATTTCTTTCTTTCAAACATCCCAAACATGGCGTAAGTAGCCTGAAATTATAAAATACTTAACTGGATTTTTAGTTATCTACACAGACTGCTAGAATGTAAATTAGTTGCCCAAATTAGAACATCAAATAACAAAATCAGCCATAAAGCAGGCTGAAAAGCATTAAATGTTTCATATATGAGTTTTAAATCATTTAATTTCTATAGAAAAATTTTATTCACAATATAATGTGACAGAAATTGCCACAGGAATGATATACTGATTGCAATAAGGTTGCATGCAGCAGCAGCTTTGTATTTTATAGCTATTTTTGTTTATAAAAATTAAACCTCTCCAGTCATGCTTATCACATGGTCTTAGATTCGTAATGTAAGCGAATAAGGAATACCATATAGTTCAAAGATAAAATGTCTCATCATTTTGAATGTGAATTATCTGTATGAAACATGAAGTATACTACTGAACCCTGAAACATGCATGTCTAGATTTACTTTCTGTCCAATTACAGGCTGTCTGCAATCTCTTTCTATTTATATAATTCCAAGAGGATCCGTCTGTAATTGTGGTTGTATTAGCTGAGGTTGCAATGGTGGTGGTAACTGAAGTGGTACCATTGGTTCCACCAACTGTCCTGGATTTGAAGGTGGTGGAGCCACAGTGTTCACAGTTTCAACAATTTCTCCATTGTAAAAGAAAAACTGACACTGTTGAATGAATGTTTCAACAACAGATTGATGTATCTTGGTGGTAGACAGAAACTCTCGATTTTCAAAATCAGGTCTCATCAAGGTTGGCCAAAAGCAGATGGACAAGTTGTCTGCTGTCATGAGGTTGATTTTATTTTGCTGACTCACCCTGAAAAAATAAAAAGGCAAAAACACATAGAAATAAAAAATTATTACAATTACAGAGTCCCAGAGCTAGAAATAAATTATTTCAGATTAGGGTTAACATTTATTCTAACTTTAATTTGTTTTCTTTTTTTTTCTGCTATAGGGTGCGTGCGCTCACCAGAGAGAGATAGAGAGACAGAAAGCAAGAAATCACCCCCCAGAGGGGATGGCCACGCACGCACGCGTGCCCGGCGTGAATTTAAGCCGCCGGGTCCGGGACACGAACGGCAGTCGACCACGTGGGAGTCCAGTGACATAGCCATTACGCCAACTGCTGGTCCCAATACTTTTCTTTTTGAACACTCTACATTCAACTATATTCTTTTTATTTATTTATTTTGAGAGGTTTTTGTAATAGGGCGCATGCGCTCGCCAGAAAGACAGAGAAAGAGAGACAGACAGAAAGTGTGAAATCACCCCCCAGGAGGGATGGTCATGCCACAATCCCTCCTCCTCCATTCTCTTCTTGGGATCTTGGGCATGCACACACATGCACCTGGGGTAAGTTTAAGCCACCAGGTCTGGGGCGGCAGTCACCTACAGGGGGGTCTAGTGTTTTAGCCGTTACACCAACTGCTGGTCCCCATTCAACTATATCCTCAACAAAACTGAAATAAAAAGTCATTCCTTGGGTCCTGCATAGGGGGTGATTTCTCGCTTTCTGTCTCTCTCTCTTTCTGGCAAGTGCACGCACCCTATAGCAAAAACCTCTCCAAAAAATAGCCGTTCCTCATGACAGTGGAAGACAGTTTTTTTTTTTTTTTTTTTTTTTAATTTTGATTTTGTAATAGTATCTCATAAAATTGCATTGCTTTTCTGGCATCGTTTTTCTCAATCTGCAATCACTGATTCATCAGCGTGTTATGCTGATTACTGGCCAATCATTAACAGCAGTAAGGCCCTTAAAAACAAGAGGCTATGTCTGTATACTACTTATCTGGAATCTCTAGTGTTATGCATGATTGTCGCATAGCAGGAACTTCAATGGCGGTTTGAGCCCCAGACCTGGGAGTTTAAACTCAGGCCGGGCATGTGTGCCCAAGATCTTAAGAGGAGAATGGAAGAGAAGGAATAGGGGCATGGTCATGCCCCCTGGGGGGGGGTGATTTCTTGCTTTCTGCCTGTCTCTTTCTGTCTTTCTGATGAATGCATATGCCCTATACCAAAAACCTCTCCCTCCCCACCCCCTCCCCCAAAAAGTCTTAGTTTTAATCATTGATTTATTCCCAAGTTATTCCCAAGTATCCCAGCATTTAGCAGTCACTCATAATACCCTATTATAGGGGCCAGCAGGTGGTGTAGTGGTTAAGGGCACAGGATTCTCACACGGCCGACCGTGGTTCAAGTCCTGGTGGCTTACTTTCTTACCTTCTTTCTCTATGTCCTTCTCTGGTCAAAATAAAAATTAATAAATAGGTACCAGCAGTTAGCATAATGGCTGTGTCTCTAGACTCCAGTATAGTCAACCATGGTTCGAGTCCTGGACCCAGTGGATTAAAACTCATGCCGGGTGCGTGTGCATGCATGCCCAAGATCCCGAGAGGAAAACAGAGAAGGGATTGTGGCATGGCCATCTCCCCTGGGGGT